AAAGTACCATTAGCTAGTTAATATCAACCAAATCATCTGTGATCTTGACAGTGACGGTGACCAAGCTTTCCGTCATTGTTGTTATTCATGTTTTTGTGCAATCTTCTCATATTCCAAGTAAATTGTTACCAGATTTTAATTTCAGTTTAGTTTTTGTTTCAATCAGAATATGTTAAATTTGCCATTTCAATACGCGGTATTGGGTTTTCAAGCAAAATATTCCAAAAGCAAGTGTTGCTCATGATCATGTGTATAAAAGCAAACTGCTGAGAGTATACGTTGTATCCGTCACTGTAACTCTCAGAAACTATCACCCACTTTTGCTAAAAAGCTTACGGGGCGGTCGGGTAGCCCAGTGGTTGAAGTGTTCGCTCATAACGCCGAAGACCCAGGTTCGATTTTCCACATGGGTGCAATGTGTGAAGCCTATTTCTGGTGTTCTACGCCGTGATATTGCTGGAATATTGCTAAAGAAGCGCAAAACTAAACTCCCTCACTTAAAACCATACTCGTAAATGCGCATAGGGCAGGCTACACGATCAAACCAAGTGGTGCATTGTTTCGATGAGCCGAGATATGCTCAGAAAGATGGGTCATTTCCATCATGCCCGACACAAGGGCCTAGATAGCGATATCATCCAAACATGAGATAACATATGATAACAGCTCTTACGCCTATTTTAAGTTATGTATGCCCGGGTTATCTTCCGACAGAGATATCAAAGCGTTCGCGAAGTTTCCATTGACGAGTTATTCACTCGTATGGTGGTCGGAGCTGAAGGAGGCGAAAAACAGCGGCCTGTGAAGACGTCCGCGTTTGATGGGCTTCCGGACGCATGGCAAGAAGTAAGTTAGACTTTGGTTGAAACGGCTCTTCGTTTCTAAAGGCCGGGTTCAAACCTATGGTATTGTATAAAGTAGGATGTTATGAAGACCTTAGTATGCTGCAGTGAGTGAGTGAGTTTAGTTTTACGCCGCACTCCATATTCCAGCTATATGGCGGCGGTCTGCAAATAATCGAGTCTGGACCAGATAATCCAGTGATCAACAGCATGAACATCGTTCTGCGCAACTGGGGACCGATGACATGTGTCAACCAAGTCAGCGAGCCTGACCACCCTATCCTGTTAGTCGCCTCTTACGACAAGCATGGGTTACTGAAGATCAGTTCTAACCCGGACTTTGACGGGTAAGTATTGCTGCAGACAGTTTGCAAAACTATATGGTTCTTTAACTGTAATCCAGATTTGAATTGTTGATTGTATCAGTCAGGTGCCCAGCCAGGTGTAGCATAGGGCAGCAAGTGGAGGAAAGGCTATCATATCTGGCTTTCTTCCAACCAAAGTGATAACCTATCCTCTCACCCCCCCCCACCCCACCCCCACCCTCCACCCCTTCTGACTGACCCCTGTACACAGTTCCTGTTGATACTGACACCTATAGTCTGTTTGCAGTGAAAACGTACCGATGAATTGCACTCTAAACAAGGGGATATTAAGGGGAGCGTCACCCATTTTGTTCTGAGAAGGTGGGGGTCCATCAATTTTGTACATAAAAATATTTTAAAGTAATGCCTAAAATATGGGGTATTGATCGTGTACATGATATGGGGGTGACTTACTCTGTACATAAAATTTAGGGGTCAGTCACATTGTACATGCTTCTCCATAAAAATAATCATCATCTGTACAAAACACACACCCTCCACCCCACCCCCACCCCCAAGCCATCAATTGTGAACGGTCCCTAACCAGTTATGGTTAGTTCTGTATTGTGATAAACAGTTGTTGCCCTAAATTCTCAATAATGAAACACATTTCACAAGACCGTAATAATTATATACCTATCTGTACCTCGCCATCCCCTAATCCCAAACCCCACACATGAACTCAAGTATTATGATTCAATTTTGTTATAAATATTAATTACAAGTATTAGAAATAATTATATGAAACTATCTAGATTCAGGATTAAGTATAATATGCATTTTCATAGTTGTCAGGCAAATGTCACACGGTGACACATACTCATGATGTGTTCAGAACTGCACATTCGACTCTGTTTTGGCATAGATTTCTTACACATGGGGAAGATCTCCTTCTGTACTTGCTGCTATCACAAGTTCGGACCTTTAAAGTATTAGATTGAAACAAAGCGGAACACGCTAGTTATCATATCCGATCAGCTCACATATCCGATCTACAAACCGCAAGGTGTTAGTATACACGAGGACCCGTTATGGATGTTATTGAGATACATTGTTGTCACTATTAACGAAGGCCCGGTTTGGATGTCGAGATGCATCGTTGTCAGTATCAACGAAAGCCCAGCTTGGATGTCGAGATTCATCGTTGTCAGTATCAACAAAGACGTGGTTCTGGATGTGGAGATGCATCGTTGTTAGTATGCTGTGAGAAACGCCATGGACGAAAGTGTTCGAAAACTGTAAAAGTGATTCATAGATATTAATTGCATTTCGTTAAGATGAAACATTTTCTTAAATGTGCATGAACATGTACACTCCCCTGACGAGTGATGTGAACAGAAAGATGTCCAAATGTTCACACTTCTGGAACAGTAATGCCTGATTATCTGATGGAAGATTGAATAATTGACTACAGAAAAACAACAAAATGCAGGCAAAATGTTAATTTGTATGTTCTGTACATGATAAATACCAACACTGTTGATTTTGTGAAAAACAGTTCATTGAATAAATATTGTCCTGGCACGAAACATAATGAGATAGTGTCAGATTTCGCTGTCTGTGTAGGTCCCTTGAAATCTACCGGGTTGTATCTCATGTATCTGCCTGAAAGCCCTAAGATGAAAGCCTGTGGATACCCTTCCTGAGGCAGTTGTTGCCACTCCTCATGCCACCAGGGAGCCTGTGGATACCTTCCTGAGGCAATTGTCGCCACTCCTCATGCCACCGGGGAACCTGTGGATACCTTCCTGGGGCCATCCCTCTGCCTCCAGAGGCAATGCCGCCTCCAAGTCACCCACATTTTGTACAGAATGGACCGTTGCCTGGTGGTTATCAAAATGAGGCACAACAACTTGATCAAGACTGTCCGTGATTTTGTGCTGGCCATTAAAACTTCCCCGTACAGTCACCAGTGTCAGCCCACATCATAGCTGAGCCCCTATCAAGTGGAACAATAAGATAAAGTGTTAATGCGCCTCCTAACTCTCCAACGACCTTCCGTGAAGCAGGAAACTGATTTCCTCTGACAACAGATTCGTGTCCAGGTCCGATGATTCCTGTGAAGGGAAGCACCACTAGAGACATTGCTCTTGATATTCAAGATGACAAGACGATTACCCACGGTCTTGGTCGGCAAACGTCTGTTGGGCACCCAGAGTGCTCACGTGACGGGTCATATCGTGATCTTCCGCTGGAGTAGTCTGGTGCCCTGGCCTTGGTCGGCTCTTGACAGCTCCTTTTTGTTGGTGTTTCCGGAGAAGTCTACAAAAGGCAGACTGCAGTAACCAAGCTAGCACCCGATGGCCTTGAACGACATGCCACCTGCATGCATACCAACTATGTGCCATTTCAATCCCAATGATGGTCTTCTCCTCGCCATTTTAATGTGTATGGGTGAAACGGATGGCATTCACAAGTTTTATATTCTTGAACAGCCAGACAGAGATTCTGCTTTTCATGATATGAGTAGATAGCATGCTTCACGTGCATACGTTTTAGCAAACCGTTTCACATTTAAATCTTATTTTTCATGACCTGAAATGTTCTACTAAACAATGGCATTATTGACATATCATCCTCAGCATCATCGTCGTCATCAGCATCAACATCATCATCAATAGCTACATCACTATAAAGAAATGTATTAGGGGGTGCTTAATTAAGTTCCATCTGTATACCTGCAATAAGGCTTGAGTATGTGTGGCTTGTGGAATTATTGGTGCATGGAGCGGTATGGCTGCCAAGTTTGCTTCCTTTGTCATCACCGACCGGTTCAAATAATTTACACCAGCAACCTAAATGCACTTAATGTATAAGGGTTTCGTCAGTGTTTACCTGCACATATGCTGACAAAATTAATTACATTTACTTGAAACATATTTACCTTGAAACATACTCCCATGAAGATCAGAATCTTTGATTTGGGTAGGAAGAAGGCTCGTGCTGATGAGTTCAAAATTCTTGGGCATATTTCATGACATGTATTTTGAAAGACATAGTATTTTTACCAGTTGTGTTGTTGCAATTGGCATCCTTGTAAATTTAAATCTTTGATGAGAATATTCTATGAGTGCCCATATTGAATATGCTAACTACAACATATCTAGTTGCCCACACTGCTTATCAGTTTGTATTAGTGTATTAATTTACACCAGGTTCATGATATATAAGGTTTAGTGTTGGGAATTGGTGTAAATCTCATAATTGATGATTGGTTCATTACAACCGATCAATCATCGAAAATAATTGGTTAGCGTCATTTATCAAATTTTCCTGGTTATGTTTGTTAATGCACAAAAGATAAAGAAAAAACATGTAGTTCTCTCGTTTTTTTCGCAAATTGCACAAAATGCATTTGCAAATTTCACATCTTTAAAGGATGACTAGTGTGTTAGGAGCATACATTTCCTTGAGTTGTTAAGATAAACTTAATCATGACTTGGAACGAGCTTGTAGTGCTTATGCAATGTCGAGACAAAATCAACCTTTTGAAAAATATTGTTATTGCAAACAAATGGTCCAAAATTGTTTGTGTTCGATTATGAGAAAACATGATCGATTGCTTGGTCGTTTTGTCATTGCGACCAATCTTCGATTATTTCAATTAATCGGACCACCACTAATAAGGTTGTGATATAAACATATTTACCTTGAAATATACTCCCATGATGTCTAGAATGGTGCAGTTGCGTGTGACAAGAAACGACATTCACTCACTAACTCTCCTCGTTTTATTATACCAGGGACGGTCTTGAAACTGTGACGCCACCATTTGCAGAGTTGTGTCCCACAATTGCCAGGATACGGTTTGCAAAGGTTCCAAGGTGCGTCCTGATTATCTTCCTTGGTCTTCCTGCACCATTTGCATTGGCTCGGGTTTCGCCAAGTTAATACATTAGAACTAACACATAGTGAGTTGACTTAGGTATATGATTATAAATCTCCAAGGGGAGTAAAATCAAACATACTTACCTATTTCAATTCTATTTCAGCAACCTTAAAATGGCGAAAATGTGCAAAATCTCTTCCATGATTCCAAAACGTTTCATGATAAGGTAAGTGTTAACATGATTGGCTCTATAAGGACTGTTTCGGGGTTTTTTTCCAATTTAATGATTTGAATAAATTATTGTTCAAAAGTGAACTTCTTTGCATGTGCAGGTATCAATGTATAACACCATTGCATTAATCGACAATTAATCAATTGGTTACAATCACAAATACAGAAACCGCGGTCGATTATCCTTTAACGGTTTGTAAATATTCCACGGCAATACTTTATATAGTCATTTTGTCCTCTGTACTGAAACGATGGTTATGGTTCTGAACTCCCACTGCTTCGTTATAGTGAAATCATTTGCTGCTGGCATTAGATGACGCCATAGAGATATGCTAAATAACACATGCTGCTGACATTTACTGTTTTATGCAAATGTTACTGCAAATTGCAATTGGGTGAGTGAGTTTAGTTTACGCCGAACTCATCAATATTCCATCAACATGGCGGCGGTCTGTAAATATCCGCGTCTGGACCAGACAACCCAGTGATCAACAGCATGATCATCGATCTACGCAACTGGGATACGATGACATGTGTTAACCAAGTCAGCGAGCCTGACCACCCGATGCTGTTAGTCGCCTCTTGTAGCAAGCATGGGTTACTGAAGATCAATTCTAACCCGGATCTTCACGGGTTGCAAGTTGCAACTGAGTTGCGCGTTGTCAAGGTTAGGCAGAAAATGCACACGCTTTCTGGGAACACCGGGTGTCATTGCTGATTTTCAGTGACCCAAATGTCTTATAAGGAATAGGTATTATGGGTAGTATTTTGAAGATGAAGATGACAACTGTAGTGTTCCATATTGCTGGAATTCACCATTCATCATTCTGCCTTGCTTCAACAATGCTCAGAGTCCTGTGGCCTTCAGATTGTTATCGGGGCGGTGGGGTAGCCTAGTGGTTAAAGCGTTGGCTCGTCACGCCGAAAACCCGGGTTCGAATCCCCACATGGGTACAATGTGTGGAGCCTATTTCTGGTGTCCCCCGCCGTGATGTTGCTGAAATATTGCTAAAAGCGGCGTAAAACCAAACTCGGTCAGTCAGTCAGTCAGATTGTTATCGGTGGCTGTCTCACAACGAAAGCGGCAGTTGTTATCGTCAAGGAATGTGCTGTTATCAACACTCTGTACTTTTATCGTTGTGTTCACTGAGATAACTGGGTCTGTAGTTTTCTAGTTCAAGGTGTCTCTGTGGACGTTTCAGTTGTCCATTGTATGAACACCTGGGTCCCAGGCTGCCAATATGTATCACGTTCTCTTGATCAGAGACATTAGGTGAATTATTAATTTCAGTTTTGTTTGTTTATTACACGCAGCAATATTTCAGCAATATTTCAGCCATATGACCGCGTCTGTGAAGTAAACGAGTCTGGACCAGACAATCAAGTGACTTTTGTGTGTTGCTGAACGCCGTATTTCGCAACATTCCAGTCGTATGTAACTAATCGAGTCTGGACAAGACAATCCGGTGATTGACATCACAGACAACGTTCTACGCAGTTGGGTTGGTTGGTTGGTTCTTAACGCCGCATTCAGCAATATTCCAGCTATATGGCGGCAGTCTGTAAATAGTCGAGCCTGGACCAGACAATCCAGTGATCAACAGCATGAGCATCGGTCAACGCAACTGGGATACGATGACATGTGTCAAATATGTCAGCGAATCCCTTTTTAACCATTATGCACTACTGCCGAATGAATTATTGACTGGGTCGGGTCAGTCATTTTAATGCGATTGCAATTATAAGCTAATTAAAAATACCCATATGTACAGGATATATGACTGACTGTGCCTTGAAGATATTATGACTTATATTGTTTGTACACACATTATCACCTTTTAGTAGTCTTGCAGAGGTGTTCCAAGTCGTGAAGATCCGGGTTAGAATTGGTCGCAACCCATGCTTGTCGTAAGAACCGACCAACGGGGTCGGGTGGTCAGTCTGACTTAGCTCATACATGTCATCGTATCCCAGTTGCGTAGATCAATGCTTATGATATCAATCACTAGATTGTCTAGTAGACTCGATTATTTACAAACATTCGTCATATAGCCGAGTACGTCAAACAAACAAACAAAATATGGCTGTGGTAATGTTACGTGGCCAAGAGCTATGAATAACTTACAAAGCATTCACCATATTGATTGATTGATTGATTGATTGATTGATCCCCAGATAACACACAACGTTTTCGCAACGTTGTTGGAAGGTTGTAGATTCGTTACGTCATGACACAACGTTGTCACAACGTTAGTATTACGTCATTTATTAACGTTATGTCACAACGTAATAACAACATTGCAAATAAACGTTGAGGAAACATTATGCTTTGGGCTCCTCACAACTTATAACAACGTTTCTTAAACCTTGTCACGATAGACTTTTCCGTGAAAAAATTTTCACTTTGAGATTCTTTCTTCACTATTCAGCTACAGCTGACCAAAACCGCATGCAAATTGACGAATAAGCATTGAACTGAATTTCTGTTTTGTTTCATGTGTACTATTCGCTACTGGGAAAACTATTATAAATAGAACGTTAAGACAACGTAAAATACGTTAGCATCTAATGACTTACCGACGTAAAGATGACGTATCACAACGTCAGGTCACAACGTTGTGGCAACGGAAAATTGTCAGCTGAAGTTACTGACTGACTGACTGACTGACTGACTGATTGATTGATTGGAACTGATTGATTGACTGACTGATTGATTGATTGGAACAGAAATGTATCGTTTGTGTGTCTAGTATCTGTGAACTGATATTGTACTTCTATTCCAGATTGGTGTGTTTTGGCGCAGTTTCCGTCTTAGCTTTTTCGTATTGGACTCAACAGCCCCGCATCCCTAGTGTAGACCTCAGCGTAATACGTCGTGTTTGTGGACAGAACCAAGTCATTAAACCTACTTGTTCCTGTCAAGAGCGCAAGGTTACGCCTCCGACACCCCAACCGCAAAAGTCTTCCTTTGACAAAGTGAATCAGACGAAAGACGTGCCAGAAAAACAGCACATTGTTTTCGTTAAGACGCATAAGGCAGCCAGCTCTACTGTCTTAAACATAGTGTACCGGTTTGCCCAAGAACGAGGACTGATTATCATTCTTCCAAAAGTGGGTAACTATCTAAACGGCAAGCATCTTAACAAGACCAACATCCTCCCGCCGCCGAAAGGAAAGAAGTTCGACATTCTCTGCAACCATGCCATATTTAACTACACATCATTCTCGTCTTATCTCCCAGCCGACACAGAATATATCGGTATTGTGAGAGAACCATTTCAAAGATTTATCTCTGCAATGTATTATTTTCGATTCACCCACACCCACAAATATCTTCAACGAATTCCTGCGAGGCATGGTTCTAAGATTCTGATGAAGTACCTGGAGAATCCGATGGCATGGGAACCAGTGAACCCACTGGAATCTCAGACCAATAACAGAATGGCCATAGACTTTGGGTTTCCAGCTCAACTGTTCCACAACGAATCGTTGTTTGAAGAATACTTGGTAACACTCAACAAAACATTTCGAGTGATAATGGTTGCAGAGAAATTCGACGAATCGCTTATTCTGGTGAAGCGTTTTCTCAACTGGAATCTCAGGGACGTGGTGTATATAGTTAAAAACAGAGCTAGATTCAAGCCGCGGATACCCAAAATCGAGGGAAATTCATGATGAATTTTCATCAAGTGTCAAATTTAGATAAAAAACTTTATGATTTCGCTCTAAAGAGACTCCAAAAGCAAATTGAACAAGAAGGTCCTGATTTTCAGAAAGAGGTGGAATATTTCAAGACATTACAAGAAAAGGTTGCAGGTTTCTGTACACGTTGGCAGAGAAAACGTCAGCTTGAGATCCCGCCCAGCAACTGGACGCGTGGGTTTACCCTGAACCGGCGCGGCTGCTCGGTAATTCGGATGGAAGAACTGCCGTTTGTGACCTACTTACAAAACCTTCGGCAAAATGACCTAGCAAGATTGGGTGCTAACAATGACTTTATGAAATCAATACCTCTTTGATTGTTACGATGTGTGGACTTTTTGTTTTGTTTTGGGTTTTATTGTGTTTTTGTTCTTTTGGCGTCTCCTGAGGTAAATGCATTTGTTCGTGCAATGCCTCTGTTCACCAGCGGTGAATGGGTACCCGGTAGAAAACACACTGTAACCGAAGCGCCTCACAAGCAGCTTCAATGGTATACTCTTCAGGAAGCTGAGACTATAAATATAGTGAGCACGGATCCACTGATAATGAAGCGCTCTGAGTATTAGCATTGTGTATTGGGAGCATTATAAATGCCCTTTATCATTATCATTCATTTTATTAATTATTATTATTGTTATTTACAGATTAAAACAAACGAATGCAGGAAAGAGGGTTTGGGTGGTACTGGTACAGTGAGACTAGTTAGGCTCATCATCAGGTCAACGCCCTTGCCCCCTTTACACGGAAGGACCCGTGAAGATCCTGTTAGAATTATCTTTAGTGACCCATGTTTCTCGTCAGAGGCGACTAACGGGATCGGGTGGTCAGGCTCGCTGACTAGGTTGACCCACGTGTCATCGTATCCCATTTTTTACTGTTTTCGTAAATAAGTTATTCAGTCTTGTGGAGTTGGAAGGGGGTCAATGTATTACAGTCTCTTCTTCCATTAGCAATCTCTGCTCTCTTATGTTTGTTGATGGTGTTTCAGCAATGGCTGACACCTTTGCTCAGTTGCAAAACAGATGCATGTACTTGGCAAAAACGTATGATCTTGAATTTAAAGAAAACCAAGATTATTGTATTTAGAAATGGTGGTCCCTTGCGCTCATATGAAAATTGGTTTTATAATGGTAATGTTATTGACACTGTATTATTTTACAAGTACCTTGGAATTATCTTCACTCCTATATTAGATTGGGGTAAAGTTATGTCTTGAATTGCATCACAAGCTAATAAGGCAATATTTTATGTTAAAAATGTCCGAAGGAAGGTAGGATTAATTGTACAGATTTATTGAAGATTTTTGATTATATGATGTTACCTATCCTATGTTATGGGTCTGAAATATGGGGCACATCCTACTGTAATACTATTGAATCTGTTTATATCAAATTTTGTAAAAATGTCTTGAAACTTGGAAAATCCACCTGTAACACCATGGCCTTGGGTGAATGTGGAAGAGTGTCTTTACAGTTTACTTATACAACCAATGCTGTGAAATACTGGTGTAGACTTTTAAACATTCCTGACTGTATATTACCAAAACAATGTTATTTTTCATGGGCAGCTAAAATTTTTATTTTTTTATTTCAAATTGGTTTTTGATTTGCTTGGATAATCTAAATACGTGTGTGTTGTGTGTGTGTGTGTGTCTCTCTCTGTGTCTGTGTGTGTGTGTGTGTGTCTCTCTCTCTCTCTCTCGAAGTGCAAATATTTTGCTTTATGTAGGAATCATGTGGTGTTCGAAGCATAAAACAAACCTTTTGTCAATAAAACGATCTGGTATTCAAGCATGTGCTGTAACGTTGTCGCCAAATTTGATGGTTTCAACTTCATTTTGCCAGTAATGCATCTCACCACACAAGACTTGATCATCTCACAAGTGGATCACACAACACCTGAACATCACACCACGTTGTCGCCTTGAACATTTCTAACCACCACAACACCTGAACATCTCACCACACAACACCTGAACATCTCACCACACAACACCTGAACATCTCACCACACAACACCTGAACATCTCACCACACAACACCTGAACATCTCACCACACAACACCTGAACATCTCACCACACAACATCTGAACATCTCACCACACGACCCACAAACATCTCACCACACAAGACCTGGACATTTCGACAAACGATATCTGAACATCTCACCACACAACACCAGAACATCTCACCACACGACACCTGAACATCTCACCACACGACCCACAAACATCTCACCACACAAGACCTGGACATTTCGACAAACGATATCTGAACATCTCACCACACAGCACCAGAACATCTCACCACACGACACCTAAACATCTCATTACACAACACCTGAACATCTCATTACACAACACCTGGACATCTCACCACATCATAACCAGAACATCTCATTAAAAAACACCTGGACATCTCACCACATGATAACCAGAACATCTCATTACACAACACCTGAACATCTCACCACATGACAACCAGAACATCTCATTACACGACACCTGGACATCTCATTACACAACACCTGGACATCTCACCACATGATAACGAGAACATCTCATTAAACGACACCTGGACATCTCACCACATGATAACCAGAACATCTCATTACACGACACCTGGACATCTCAACACATGATAACCAGAACATCTCATTACACGACACCTGGACATCTCAACACATGATAACCAGAACATCTCATTACACGACACCTGGACATCTCAACACATGATAACCAGAACATCTCATTACACGACACCTGGACATCTCAACACATGATAACCAGAACATCTTATAACACAAAACCTGAACATCTCACCACACAACACCTGAACATCTCATTACACAACACCTGAACATCTCACCACATGATAACCAGAACATCTCATTACACAACACCTGGACATCTCACCACATGATAACCAGAACATCTCATTGCACAACACCTGAACATCTCACCACATGATAACCAGAACATCTCATTACACGACACCTGGACATCTCACCACATGATAACCAGAACAACTCATTACACGACACCTGAACATCTCACCACACAACATCAAAACATCTCACCACACGACCCATAAACATCTCATTACACAACACCTGAACATCTCATTACACAACACCTGGACATCTCACCACATGATAACCTGAACATCTCATTACACGACACCTGGACATCTCACCACACAACACCAGAACATCTCATTGCACAACACCTGAACATCTCACCACACAACACCAGAACATCTCATTGCACAACACCTGAACATCTCAACACATGATAACCAAAACATCTCATTACACAACACCTGGACATCTCACCACATGATAACCAGAACATCTCATTACACGACACCTGGACATCTCACCACATGATAACCAGAACATCTCATTACACAACACCTGAACATCTCACCACACAACACCTGAACATCTCACCACACGACCCATAAACATCTCATTACACAACACCTGAACATCTCATTACACAACACCTGGACATCGCACGACATGATAACCAGAACATCTCATTACACGACACCTGGACATCTCAACACATGATAACCAGAACATCTCATTACACAACACCTGGACATCTCAACACATGATAACCAGAACATCTTATAACACAAAACCTGAACATCTCACCACACAACACCTGAACATCTCATTACACAACACCTGAACATCTCACCACATGATAACGAGAACATCTCATTACACAACACCTGGACATCTCACCACATGATAACCAGAACATCTCATTGCACAACACCTGAACATCTCACCACATGATAACCAGAACATCTCATTACACGACACCTGGACATCTCACCACATGATAACCAGAACAACTCACCACACGACCCATAAACATCTCATTACACAACACCTGAACATCTCATTACACAACACCTGGACATCTCACCACATGATAACCAGAACATCTCATTGCACAACACCTGAACATCTCAACACATGATAACCAGAACATCTCATTACACGACACCTGAACATCTCACCACACAACACCAAAACATCTCACCACACGACCCATAAACATCTCATTACACAACACCTGAACATCTCATTACACAACACCTGGACATCTCACCACATGATAACGAGAACATCTCATTACACAACACCTGGACATCTCACCACATGATAACCAGAACATCTCATTGCACAACACCTGAACATCTCACCACATGATAACCAGAACATCTCATTACACGACACCTGAACATCTCACCACACAACACCAAAACATCTCACCACACGACCCATAAACATCTCATTACACAACACCTGAACATCTCATTACACAACACCTGGACATCTCACCACCTGATAACCTGAACATCTCATTACACGACACCTGGACATCTCACCACACAACACCAGAACATCTCATTGCACAACACCTGAACATCTCAACACATGATAACGAGAACATCTCACCACACAACACTAAAACATGTCACCTCACGACCCATAAACATCTCATTACACAACACCTGAACATATCATTACACAACACCTGGACATCTCAACACATGATAACCTGAACATCTCATTACACGACACCTGGACATCTCAACACATGATAACCAGAACATCTCACCACACAACACCTGAACATCTCACCACACAACACCAGAACATCTCATTGCACAACACCTGAACATCTCAACACATGATAATCAGAACATCTCATTACACAACACCTGGACATCTCACCACATGACAACCAGAACATCTCACCACACAACACCTGAACATCTCACCACACAACACCAGAACATCTCATTGCACAACACCTGAACATCTCAACACATGATAACCAAAACATCTCACCACACAACACCAGAACATCTCATTACACAGCACCTGGACATCTCACCACTTGATAACCAGAACATCTCATTACACGACACCTGGACATCTCACCACATGGTAACCAGAACATCTCATTACACGACACCTGGACATCTCACCACATGATAACCAGAACATCTCATTACACAACACCTGAACATCTCACCACACAACACCAAAACATCTCACCACACGACCCATAAACATCTCATTACACAACACCTGAACATCTCATTACACAACACCTGGACATCGCACCACATGATAACCAGAACATCTCATTACACGACACCTGGACATCTCAACACATGATAACCAGAACATCTCATTACACGACACCTGGACATCTCAACACATGATAACCAGAACATCTCATTACACAACACCTGGACATCTCAACACATGATAACCAGAACATCTCATTACACAAAACCTGAACATCTCACCACAACACCTGAACATCTCATTACACAACACCTGAACATCTCACCACATGATAACCAGAACATCTCATTACACAACACCTGGACATCTCACCACATGATAACCAGAACATCTCATTGCACAACACCTGAACATCTCACCACATGATAACCAGAACATCTCATTACACAACACCTGGACATCTCACGACATGATAACCAGAACATCTCATTGCACAACACCTGAACATCTCACCACATGATAACCAGAACATCTCATTACACACGACACCTGGACATCTCTACCACATGATAACCAGAACAACTCATTACACGACACCTGAACATCTCACCACACAACACCAAAACATCTCACCACACGACCCACAAACATCTCATTACACAACACCTGAACATCTCATTACACAACACCTGGACATCTCACCACATGATAACCTGAACATCTCATTACACGACACCTGGACATCTCACCACACAACACCAGAACATCTCATTGCACAACACCTGAACATCTCAACACATGATA